CCCCCCCCCCAGGGAATTTTTTGTGGCCCATGATGCTCTGAAATAAAATGAAAATAGAAAAAATTGTTATGAGGAAAATAGGGCTTAGGGGAGATCGAAGCAATACCGCACACACAGTTCCCTCCTTAACCCTTTAACTACTGATGTGGCCCGTGTGACTCTTGCCTGTTGCACCAAATGGCCCGCGTTTTCATTGAGTTTGACAGCCCTGCTCTAGACGAAAGAAATGATGGATTTTAAGGTTCCCTGTTCTGAGACATGCTGTCACCCACATTTTTAGAGCCTTGGTGGTGGTGTGGGGATGTGTTGGGCTGCTAACTACAAAGCCAGCAGTTCGAAACCACCAGCTGCTCGTTAGGAGAAAGATGAGACTTTCTACTCCCGTAAAGAATTACAGTCCCAGAAACCCACAGGGCCCATTCTACCCTGTACTTCAGGGTGGCTATGAGTTGGCAACGACTCGATGACAGTGGTTTTTTAAAATCATTTTATAAGGGGCTCATACAACTCTTATCACAATTCATACGTACATCAATTATGTAGAGTGGGTTTGGTTTTTAACCCATATTTTACCTTGCATTTCCTTGTGGTGAACACTTCTGCTTCTCTTCATAGTCGCCACTAGACTGACGTAGGAACGTCAAGGAGAAGAGGGCCTGTGTACCTGCCCACCGCCTCCTGGCTCCACCTGCGTCTGGGTGGGAGTCCACGTCTTCCCTCAGCCTTCTCAAATAGGCCCAGGCTTCAGTGTGTTCAGTCCTGCACCCTGGCACTTGGCTGTGGTCACAGCCTTGACTTATTCCTCCAAAGGCTGAGTGAGCCTCCTCGTCAGACCATTTCCCAGAGCTTAAGGGGACAAAAAAGACTGAGGTTTTTATTGTTTAACTTAAAAAAAATCATTTTATTGGGTGCTAGTACAACTTTTATAACAATCCATCCACCCATTGTGTCAAGCACATTTGTACATTTGTTGCCATCCTCATTCTCAAGAGATTTGCTTTCTACTTGAGCCCTTGGTATCAGCTCCTCATTTTATCCCCTCCTTCCCCACCTTCCCTCCTTCACAAACACTTTATAATTTATAAATTATATTATTTTGTCGTGTCTTACACTGTCTGACATCTTTCGCCTACTTTTCATTGGGAATCAGGTGCCGGTGTACAGAACAGTCATCAGTTGTAGATCCAACCGTTCAAAGCACACTTTGTTTCAGAGGGGCACCATTGTGATCCCCCCTGTGCTGCTTCTTTCCAGTCCTTCCTTCCTAACCTGAGCTCTGTCTTTGAGCAAAGGCTTCTGCTAAGCTTACGTGGCTGATTATTTGAGCATGGGGGTGAGTTCATTTCCAGACCTGGAGGTAGCTGAGGGATGTAGGCACCTTGGGCATGGGAGGGCGCTGGAATCTAGGTCTTATACCTTGGCCAGAGGACTGCTCCAGTCCAAGGCACACCAGACTGGTCCTTCCCTGTGAGGGTGAGGAGGGGGAGCATCTTGGGTCAGAAGAAAGGGTGCCAGGCTTTCCCAGGTCCCAAGCAGTGGAGACATGGTCGGTAGCTAAAGTTAAACGTTGAAATGTTCAGTTTGGCGACCGGGCCAAGGCTTTGGATTTGCAGTGCTCTCTTATTGAAGCAGTCTGTCTTGATCTCTCTTGCATTAAATCATGAACTCTGGACCACCCACATGCAGCTGATTGGTTCTTTGGGTGAGGGACCAGAAAAAACAAACACAAAAAACATATTTTTCTCCTGTTCACCTAGATTGCTGTTTAATTCTTTTAAAAAACAAAATAGTTGTAGATATATAAAATTTGCCATTTTAACTGACATGTAAGCGTACACTGTAGAATTCTGTGACATCAATTACGCTTACAATGTGTGACTGTCACCACTCTGTCCCTGACATTTTCAGTAAGCAAGCAGATCCCAGTCTCCCTTACGCAGGAACTCCCCACAATTCTGTTAATCTGCACCCAAAATGTGAACGTGACCCTGCAGCCACCCTCAGGTCTTCGATTGTTCTCACCCATGTGGACGTCCCTTTCCTCCCTCAGATGTAACAATGAAACTTCCTGGACCGCTTTGGCCAACAACGCCTCCAGCGACATCAGCGTGGTCCACTCTCGAGACGGGAAGACCGTGGAGGGCCGAGTGACCTTTATCAAAGTGGAGCAGACCTTCTCCGTGCGGTGCCTGGCTAAGAACCTCATTGGGGCCGACAGCCGGGAACTGAAGCTGGTGGCTCCCAGTGAGTTGCTCAATGGCTCAGTCTCCAGCCGAGTCCCACCTCCCTCAGGTGGAACCTGGCCTCCCCCCTAGGGGGCCAGACAGGCACGGGGTGCCCCTCGAGGGCCTACTCTGGGCATCAGGGGTCCAACCCACCTCTTGCAGGGGCTCTTTCGTATCTTAACCATCTGATCGTATAGCCTGGTCTCTTCAGTCTAGCCTTCAGGTGTGTGGAGGAGGAGGAGGATGGGAAAATCAGCACACCCCATCTTGTGGCTCTTGACAACCATTGAAACAGGTTGAATTCTTCTAGAGAAAAACAAAAGTCTACAGCAGTGTAGACACAATCCAACCTCTCCAAATAATGACCCGTATAAAGTCGAGGCTTCTGAGCGTGTTAAATCCAGCTGGCATCAAGTTGGCTCCCCTGTCCAGGTGACTCATGTGTGTCAGGGCAGAACTGCACACCGCAGGGTTTTCAGTGTCCGACAGTTCCTCAGCCGATTTCCAGAATTTTCTTCTGAGGGACTTCTCGGTGGATTGGAACCTCCATCTCTTTGGATAGCTGCTGAGTGCATGAGCCATTTGCACCTCATAGACGCTCCTCTGGGGAGCCCTGTTGGCATAGTGGTTACAAGTTGGGCTGCTAACTGCATGGTCAGCAGTTCAAACCCACCAGCCGATCCATGGGAGAAAGAGGAGGCTTCCTACTCCTGTAAAGAGTTACAGCCTCAGACACCCACAGGAGCAGTTCTACTCTGTCCTATCGGGCCACCGAGTCAGCACCGAGTTGATGGCTGGAAGTGGACCTCTTTGTACAGCCTATTCACAGTTTGTCCCAAAGGTTCATGTTCGGAACTGGGTGAGAGACAGTAATGCAATCCTCTGGACTTCTGATCTTTTTCTAAAAGAAGGGCGAGAGTGGATGTTTCGTGCAAATAGCTGTTTGAGTGATGGCCTCACCTGTCCCTGTAATGAGCCAGGCTGCCCTCTCCTTCCACCGCCCCCAGCAGTGAGAGGGGCCTGCCTTCCTCCCCCACGAGGACCTTCCCCCACCAGCTCTCTCTCGCTCTCCAGCTCTGCGCTCGGAACTCACCGTGGCCGCCGCCGTGCTGGTGCTGTTGGTGATCGTGATCATCTCACTCATCGTCCTGGTCGTCATCTGGAAACAGGTAGGTCTTCTCCCAAGGAGCTCAAGAACCCTTGACGTCCTTGAGGACACGGAGACTGGCAACTAAGTCAGGGCTTGGCACAGAGAAGGAGCTAGTTTCACGTCAGACGTGACATGTTGAACGTGTGTTGTTCAGTCTTTGTGTCAGCCCACATACTTGGCTGACGCAGTTAACTGAGCTTCGATGCCTTTGAATTTCGGTAAAACTCAGCAGTGTGACCTGTCTTGGTCATTTCCAGAAGCCGAGGTATGAAATCCGTTGGCGTGTCATTGAATCCATCAGCCCTGATGGACATGAATATATTTATGTGGACCCCATGCAGCTGCCTTACGACTCAAGGTGGGAGTTTCCAAGAGATGGACTAGTGCTTGGTAAGTTCCAGCTCAGTTTGCGCTCCTAAGACTGCCCCTGACCTCTTTTAAAAAAGGAGGGAAAAAGTTGTGTGCTTGGTTTAGGTTCCCACTCAACACCGCCTCAGGCCTTGCTCAGCGGCACTGGTTAGTTCTCCGCAGTGCATCACAGTCTCCTGTTTCCATTCTGGTGACTCTCTTCCTTCCATCTAGTTTCCCTGTCACTGACCATTTGTCTCAGGGAGACTTGTTTGTTTTAAAGGAGCATCCTACTCACGGATGGTATTCTTTGTGAGTCAACTTGCTATTTAGCTAGTTCACCATTCAGTTCAAGGTTTAAAGACCCCCAAGGGCACCAGTTTTGGGGAGTCTTCCAAGCTCAGCTGGTGCAGTAAGTCTGACCTGGTTTGGTTGCTGTGGAGAATCTGATGTCTGTACCACATTGCCACATTTTCCTCTCATTCTCTCACGAGTCACCTAGTGTGACCCTGAGCAGAATGGCTAAGGCTCCCTCTGGACTTGTACGTAAGTGACTCAGTGTGTATAAGCCTGTGGAGGAACCAGGGCTCTGAGTTTGTGCTTCCGAAGAGCCCGGCCCTCGAAGTACACTTACAGAAATAAGTTTCAGTCTTAAAAATGAGTTAATTGGCAGAAAGAGGATATCAGGTTGAACACACACACACACACACACACACACAGAATCTGAATAAAGTATGTACTTGAATTAATTAAAAAAAAACGAGTTTGTTGGATTGCTGCAAGGATTTAAAAAAACAATTCTTCTCTATAACAAACTACAGTGTAAGAAAACTAATTGCACAAAGAGAGAAAGAGACGAGGAGGCAGCCTGGCAGAGGCATCCGCGGAAGGGGCTTAGCTTTGGAAACAACAGCAATGGAAATGAGACGCACATCTGTGACTAAAAAGGGACGGATGATAAATGAATGGAGACCCCCACAAAAGAGAGTCTGATCCAGCTTCTTTAAATCTCTCTCTATATTTAGAATGTAGACTATAAAAAGAACAGGAAAGTTTGTAAAGTTTACACACACAAGAGTCAAAACAACCAACACCATTCATTACAAACATTTCCAGTATGTCAATCCCGGGTTGAGACCCAGTGTGAAATGCTTTTAGTCGAAGGATATGAAAGAAGTATATATTATTATGTTTTTTCCCATTGCCTTCTGGCTAAGACAGGTGAGGTGAAGGTTAGCTTTAGAGCTTGTGTCCCCATGGATCTCCTAACGATGTGCACTGGGGAGGATTTTGACGTTCTTTCACTCCAAAGTAGAGGGGAGCTGGAGTTTAATTTTTCTTTGACTGTTAGGAGCTCTGGTGGTGCAGTGATTACACACTGGGATGCTAAGTGCAAGGTCAAAGCCACCAGACAGCCCCGGGGTAGAAAGGTGAGGGCTCTACTCCTGTGAAGAGTTGTGCCCTTGGAGCCTCACACCAGCTGTCTCAACCAGCCCTATAGGGTTGCTATGAGTCAGAATGGATTCAATGGTGGTGAGGTTTTTTGTTCTTGTTTTTTGGTAGAGAGTTAGTTAAATTGAGCAGCCCCCCACCCCCCAGCAAAAAACCAAAAAGGATTCTTGTTGCTCCCAATTTCAGATCCTGATCTCAGGGGACCATGTCTGTTCTTGGTCATCCCCCCCCACCCACCCCCCACACACACCCCCCACACACCACACACCACACACCACACACCACACATACACACACACCTTGTGGTTCACAACAAGGAATTCACTTAGGGGACTTAAGATGTTATACACCAGATAGTGAGAAAGGAGCAAACCCCTAATACCCCAATAGGCATTGCTGTATCGTGCTGAGTTTATGTAGCTCCTGGAGAGCACTGGTAGCGTAGTGGTTAAGCGTTGTACTGCCATCCTCATGTTTGGCAGTTCAAACTCACTGGGCTTTCGATGGTGGTGAGTTTGGTTCTGTGTATTCCCAGGTTGCAGGTTACATCTTTCTGGGTAGTATTTCCAGCTGTGCAGACATGCAAGCAGAAGCCATGCCACCCACTGGGGTCCCTTCCGAATGGAGTCTTTCCCCAGCTAGTCAGTGCCCAGTGAGCCGCAAGGAAGGAGACAACAGTTGGAGTTCCTTTTGTTTCGCCCAACAGTGGTCACTTGGCTCTGGTGGCCTCTCTGGCAACGGGCAGCACGAAGGCCAGCCTGTTCTTTGCCTCTCATCACTTGGAGTCAGCAATGTTTTGAATGGAGACATTTCTTCAGAAGTGAGAGATACAGAAAGATTCATGAAGAGCCTCCATTTGTTTGTGGCAAACAGAAGGGCAGAGAACCAGGGGCCTTGGGCGAGAGCCACCGAGAGTACATGCTAAGCAGCCAGGGTCTGGCTCAGCCAGGAGATGGTAGACGGAGTGCTCGAGTGCTCGCACCAGGGATGGGCTTGCCCCCACTCCCCCCTTCTCCAATCTGTGTTTGCCTTTCCCTTGCAAATGTTATTTGACAAAAGCAATTACACTAATTTCCTTCCCTGTGGGCTCAATTCTGTTTTTGACATGATGACTTGGAGGAATAATTATGCTTACTCAATGCAGGAAACACACCCACCCCAGCCCAGCTGTGCACGCAGGAGTGCCGGCCAGCAGAGGCAGGGAAAGCCTAGGCGAGGACTGGAGGTGTTGGCTCAGGCTCATAATGGTTCTGTTTGCCTGCAGGTCGTATCCTGGGCTCCGGTGCATTTGGGAAAGTGGTTGAAGGAACAGCCTATGGGTTGAGCCGGTCTCAGCCTGTGATGAAGGTAGCCGTGAAGATGCTAAAACGTAAGAGTCTCTTCCTGGGGAGTTTTGAACTGGGAGACGGTAGAGCGAGCTGTTTAAAACTCACACTCGAGGAGCTGATACCAAGAGCTCAAACAGAAAGCAAATGTTTTGAGAATGATGATGGCCCCAAATGTACAAATGTGCTCGACACAATGGATGTATGTATGGATTGTGATAAGAGTTGTACAAGCCCCCAATAAAATGATTTGTAAAAAAAGAAGAAAAAAGGCATTTGCAATGAAAAAAAAAAGATAAAAAAAATCATACTGTTCTCACAGCTGAAATAATACACGCCAAATTTAGGCAAATAATAAACGCCAATTTTGACTGGAGAGTTTGTGTGTCTAGGCGACTTTGTCATTTAAGGTACGGGAGTCCTGGTTACCGGTCGGGCTACCCACTCAAGGTCAGCCATGTGAAGCCGCCAGCCACCCCAGGGAGAAAGATGGGGCTTCCTCCTCTGGGAAAGAGTTACATTCTACGAAACTCACAGGGGCAGCTCTGCCCTGTCCTGGAGGGTCGCTGTGAGTCAGCATGGGCTCAGGGCGGGAGCCACGTGGGACTATTGAAGACCACTCTTCCTGCTCTCGTCTGTGCTTTCCGTGACGGAAGTTGTCCTCCAACCCGTGGCTGTCATATTGACTGCCCACTTTTGCCAGTCCCTATACGTCAGGGTGGCACTCTGCTCCCTTCCACAGGGGTCCCAGTGGCTGGTTTCTTACTCGTCCAGCATGGCCTTGCTTTGAGTGGACTTGAACTTCCAATCTTCAGGCTAGCGCTGGCTCAGTGCTTGAATTGCTTGCCCAGGCTGGGGACACCACCCGAAAAGCCTTTGTTGTAGGGGTCAGACTCAGTGCCATCTGCTTCTTTCTGTAGTCTCTTGGTGAATAAAACGATGCCTAACAGAACCAGCCCCATTATTGGCTCTTCCGAGAACGGGGCTTAGGAGCTCCGCTGACTTGACGGCAGATCCGTTTCCTCCACAGCCACCGCTCGAACCAGTGAAAAGCAAGCTCTCATGTCGGAGCTGAAGATCATGACTCACCTGGGACCACATTTAAACATCGTGAACCTGCTGGGAGCCTGCACCAAGTCAGGTAAGCTGCCGACCCCGCTGGGAGGGCTTTTCCGGAAACACCTCTGGTTGTGCAAATCATTGAGCAGGTTTGTCACTGCCCGCTTGCTGTCCTCCCCCGAACGTGCCCGGGGTTACGTGCACTTTGAATGGGGTTCGCTGGATTCCACGGAGCTGGTGGAAGCTCCTTTAAAAAATGACAAACGAAGGTGGTTGTGCTTTCGGTGAAAGTGTCCAGCGCGAAGGAGTCTTCCATTCAAGGATTTGTCCTCAGAGTGCTCCGTGTCACTGCTCGCACGTCTCATAAGACGTCCCCATTGCCACCCTGGGCCGTCCCTTTGTCCAAATTGGTCCCCCCTTCCTGCCTCCTCTATCTTCTCGCTTGGCCAAGTGGAAGCTCATGTTTTGGAGCAACGTTTCCAAGCATAGCAACCGAGGGGTATCTCGTTCTTCATTTTCATAACCCATCTCCAAACTGGTTTTGGTCCCCGCAGGGCCTATTTACATCATCACCGAGTATTGCTTCTATGGGGATTTGGTCAACTATTTGCATAAGAATAGAGATAGCTTCCTGAGTCATCACCCAGAGAAACCGAAGAAGGAGCTGGACATCTTTGGGTTGAACCCGGCTGATGAAAGCACACGGAGGTGAGTGCCCCGGAGACCCTGTTGGGAACCGTTAGCTCAGGAGTCTTCCGATGGGGAGACACTATGACCTGGTGGATGCTACTTGTGGACGCAGAGGGAGGATGCAGCAAGACTTAGAGTCACGCCACCCTGCTCTGTCCTCTTCTAACCTGGTGCAGCCAGCCTAGTACGTGATGTGCTTCAGGTGTGTTGTGTGGAGGGGCCTTGCTGATTAGTGTGAGTGAGGGTGAGAGTTGGGGGAGCTCGGGAGCCCTTCTGCTACTGGCTGTAGGTCATCCCTTGGGGTGGAGGTTCTGGTTGCTCTCCAGCTGATGCTGCCGCAAGGTGACCTTAAGTATAAGACAGCCATGGCCCACTCGTGCCATCTTCGCAACTGTTGGTATGTTAGAGTCTATTGTGGTGGCTCTTGGATGGAACCATTGCATGGAGGCTGTCCTTTGTTTGTGCTGACCTCTACGTTATCAAACATAATGAAGGTCCTTATCTATTGCCCCGGCCTGTACCATCCTCCTGGTTGGTCTCCACTGGTGCTACATATAGTGAGTGAGCTGAAATCTCTGCATCTTGCTTCTCAAGAGCCTCATGGTTGTACTTCTTCTGAGACTTCTGCTTGCTGGTTTAGGGCATGGGTCAGGTTTGCTTTAGCTGTCAAAGTGACAGCTTCTCCCAGTGCAATCTGTTGTTGGAGTTCTCGACTGATCTCATGGGCGTTCCCTCAGGAAACCGCCCTGGCGGATGGGCGCGCATTCTTGTAACCCACAGGGAACTGCTTGGGTCCCTTTCAGTGTGCGAGTCTAGCCTTGGCTGAACCTGAAATCCACAAAGGGTTCAAAGGAGCTCTCTAGATTTTCAAATCCGTAAAGATCCAAAAGGACAATGAGTTCACTCCTTCTTAATTTAAATTGAGTAGTAGTAATTGGCTCCCCAAGCCTCACGGCTCAGGTTTTGGTGACCTATGAATTGCAAACGAGAGAAAGAACAAAGACAAGGCAATGAATTCCCCCAACTTTAAGGGTGGGAGACGTGCATGTTACAGGAGCATAGCCTCCCGGGCCACAGTCGTCAAACACTCGATTCCTAACCAAAAGACTGGCAGTTCAGACTCACCCACAGGTCCATGGGAGAAAGATGAGACCATTTGCTTCTGTAAAAGATTTACCTAGAGGGCCGTCCTACAGGGTCACTGTGAGTCAGAATCAACTCAACAGCCCTGGGCTTGATGGGTGCACAGCCACCCTGGCGTAGATGTAGGGGCCAAGGTTTCTGCAGATGAGGACGTGAGGCTAGCAGGAAAATAAGTAAATTGATAAGTAAATGGGCAATGACGGTCATGCCACCTGACATCCGTTGAACTCTTCATATGGATCAAGTACCATCCAGACCCCCCACCCCCACCCCAGTCATTCCCAGCATTGTAAAGGTGATTCCTTCTATGTTCTTCCTGATCCCACCTCTTCTCCCTCGCTTCCTTCAGAGCACACCTGAGCCCGAGCTCAGCCAGGTCTTTGTGTGATGATTGGATTCCTGCCCATCTCCCCGTAGGAAGGGCCCAGGTTGCTTGTGCCTCCAAATCCCAAGTATCCCCCCGGGATCCCAGGTGGTTCCCACGATTTGTGCATTATGACTAACCTAAAGGTTGCCAGTTCAAGCCCACCAGTGGCACTGCAGGAGAAATGCCGGGCGTTCTGCTTCCCTAACGATGACGGCTAAGAAAACCTTCAGGGGCAGTTCCCTCTGTAGGCCTGGGGTGGCTGCGAGTGGGCATTGACTCCCTGGCAACGGGTTTGGCTTTTGTTTCTCAGGGAATTTCATCTTAAATGCTCTCTCCAGAGGGCAACCCTGGCTAAGGTTTCTCCTTCTGTTCCGACAGTTACGTTATTTTATCTTTTGAAAACAATGGCGACTACATGGACATGAGGCAAGCCGACACCACCCAGTACGTCCCCATGCTGGAAAGGAGAGAGGTCTCTAAGTATTCGGACATCCAGAGATCGCTGTACGACCGCCCAGCCTCGCACAAGAAGAAATCAATGCTAGGTAGGGGAGGGCTTACTACGTGTTGGGTGCTGTGACTTGCTGGTTTCATGTGTTTAAGGTGCTCAGAGGAAGGAAGGAGGGGAGGAAGGAAGGAAGGAGTGGACATTAAGTAGATTTCCCAGGCTCCAGGGTCACTAAGACAGGTTTGCATACTGGTCCTGGTGTGGGACATGTTCGCCTAGGATTGTGGTCTTGAATCAAAAAGAAGGGGACAAAAAAAGATGCACTTAATGTAATGACGTTTTTGAATTTTAAATGTGATTTTTTAGACGTGTATTTTTGTGTTGACTATATTGGGTGTTAATATTCCTCTCAAAAAAAAAGTGTGTGTGTGTGTGTGTGTGTGTGTGTGTGTGTTGTTGTCGTCGTCAGGTGTCATCGGGCTGGTTCTGACTCACAGCAGCCCTGTGCCTACAGAACAGCATACGGCCCGGTCCTGCGCCAGCCTCTCCGTGGTTCCTGTGCCGGAGCCCCGGTCACAGTCACTGTGTCAGCCCATCTCCTTGAGAACCTTCCTTTCCGCTGCCCCTCCACTTGACCAAACAGGATGTCCCTCTCCAGGGGCTGCTGTCAAAGCACGGGAGACGATGTCTTGCCATCCTTGCCTCTAAGAAGCCCCTGCGTCTTCCAAGGTGGATTTGTTTGTTCTTGTGGAAGTCGAGGGCATGTTCAGCATTCTCTGCCAGCACCGCCATTCAAAGGCACTGATGGCTCTCCAGTCTTCCTCATCCATTGACCCACTTTCACATGCATGGGTGATTGAGGGTGTGTGTGTGTGTGCGTGCGCACATACATCTATAAACTCATTCAGTAATTTCAAACATGCCTTTGAAAAATATTTCTTTTGTCTGCATATAGATATAACATATCATGTACACATTTTACATGTGTTTACATACATACATACATACATACATACATGCATATACACACACATGTATATGTGTATATATAATTTTGGTGACAACACACTCAGCTGTCCCCCCCCCCCCTAATTTCCTCGACAGGATTATTCCACAGCGCCAGCTGCGTCCTTCACATTGTGTCAACACCCTTGCTATTTCTCTCCTGGTTTCTTTCTCATTAACTCACCCCCTCCCCTATCTACGGGTCTTCTCACATCTGGTTGAGAATCACTGTTGGCTACATTGTTGTTAATGTTGTTAACAACGAAGCACACTCAAGGGTGACCATCTTTACTTTTTTGATCCCAATTGCTACTTTGTTTAAAGATTTTGACTGCAGGGGAGAGAGAGAGAGAGAATAATATAATGCTTATTGCTATTGCTTTTGTCATTGACTGCCCTTACTTGAAAAGTGGAAACTTAGCCATCTTATGTTGCTTCTTGCTAAAACAACAAGGCGTCATGAAATAGACGTGATTGCTACGTACTGACTGTTAGCGAAACAGCCTCTCTAACAGTTCCCGTGTGTGTGAGAGACCAGGGAGTTGAGCATTTGAGGTGATCCTTCCTGACAAGGAGGGACTGGGTGCTTCAGCTGACTGGGGTTTTCGGGCAGGGATCATCTGTTTTTAAAGCCGATGAACATGTGGCAGGGGTAAATTGATGATGCCCTCAGGGGAGCCGAGACCCACACCAGATGGACCCCCACCCCCACCCTCTGCCCTCATTCGGCTGGGAGGGGCCCTCCGAGATTCCAGCCTCATCCCCTAGGCTTAGGATGGAGAGAGGAAGGTGACGCTTCGGCCACCCTGTCGTGAGCCTGGCCACCCTGGCTCTGCTGGGTGCAAAATGCGTGGAGCAGCCTTAGAACTTGTTTTGAAAGTATGCATGTGCTTGGAACACTCTCAGGGTTCTTAAGTGAAAGGCGGGATCCATCATGAAAGAAATAGAGAAAGAAAAGAAGAATGTGCCTGTCTTACAAAGCTCAGTACACAATAATATTTTCCATCTCTGCAGTTCCAAGTTCCATTCATATCCCATTGCCAAATGGGTGGGTGGATGGGGGCAGTGTCCAAGAGCTCGTTCAAGATTAGCCAACGGGAGTCCTTGGATCCAGTGCCTTCCTCTCCTTTGCATACAGTTAAAAATAGATTGCACAGCTTCCCAGGCTGCGCCCTGGACTGGGCTCCAGAAGGCAGTGAGCCTGATTCATGCTGCAGCCCCTGGAAAACGTGTGAATGGCCGGAGCCACTCTTGACGTGTGCCTGAGAACTCTCTGAAAGGACTGAGGACTTCTGGCCTTCACGCCTCCTTCCTCGAAAACTCTGGGTCCCTGCCAGATGGGATAACCGGGCACGCGGACGAGTTACCAAGTGTGCTAGACCCAAGCCTTTGGCGCGGATCTTAAAGGGTGCTAGCTCTTCTGATTAGCGTTTGACTTGTTAAAAAGTAAGTCAAGTGTTAGGAAGGTGGCTTAAAAAAAAAGTTAATTTCTGGGAGCTCCTCTTTTAAAGGGGCCCTGGTGGGGTCGTGGTTACACGTTGTTGGTCTATCTGCATGATCCTCGTTTTGAAACCACCAGCAGCTCCTTGGGAGAAAGGCTGGGTGTTCTACTCCTGTGAACGGTTACAGTCTCAGAAACCCACAGGGGTTTGCTATGCGTCGGCATCGAGTCCATGGCAGTGAGTTTGGTTTTTTGGAGTACTCCTTTAGAAGGGCCTAATGAAAGTGAAGGGAGTCCTGGTGGTACAGGTTACGCATTGGATTGCTAACCACTAGGTCAGCAGTTCGAAACCACCAGCCACTCCTCCAGAGAAAGATGAGGTTTTCAATTCTCATAAAGAGTTATAGTCTCAGAAACCCCCAGGGGGCAGTTCCACCCTACCCTATAGGGTCATTCTGTATCAGAATCATTTCCATGGCAGTGATCTTTCAATACCATTTTCCTATGAACTTTATGACCTCTCCTTGAATATTCAACCTGGAAGGGTGTGTGTGTGTGTGTGTGTGTGTAAAGGTGACTTAGATGATTTACTAAGTAAGATTGAAGTTAAGCAATGCAGGGTGGAGAAGCAAAACAAAACATCAGCAGCATCAACTTATGTCAGCCCAAATGGCTAAGACTGGACAGACTTCAGAAAGTTTGTGGGAAAATTCCCTTATCCCTTCCATTTTCTTTTTTTTAAATCATTTTATTAGGGCTCATACGACTCTTATCACAATCCATACACACATCAATTGTGTAAAGCACATTTGTACATTCATTGCCCTCATCATTCTCAAAACACTTCCTCTCCACTTAAGCCCCTGGCATCAGGTCCTCATTTTTCCCCTCCCTCCCGCTCCCCCCTCCCTCATGAGCCCTTGATAGTTTATAAATTGTTATTTTGTCATATCTTGCCCTGTCTGACGTCTCCCTTCACCCACTTTTCTGCTGTCTGTCCCCCAGGAAGGAGGTCACATATAGTTCCTTGTAATCGGTTCCCTCTTTCCTACCCACTCTCCCTCTACCCTCCCAATATCCCCACTCACACCACTGGTCCTGAAGGGATCATCTGCCCTGGATTCCCTGTGTTTCCAGTTCCTATCTGTACCAGTGTACACCCTCTGGTCTAGCCAGACATTCAAGGTAGAATTCGGATCATGATAGTGGGGACGGGGAGGAAGCATTTAGGAACCAGAGGAAAGTTGTATTTTTCATCGTTGTTACATCGCACCCTGACTGGCTTGTCACCTCTCCGAGACCCCTCTGCAAGGGGATCTCCAGTGGCCTACTAATGGGCTTTGGGTCTCCACTCTGCACTCCCCCCATCATTCACTATGGTAAGATTTTTTATTCTGATGATGCCTTATACCTGATCCCTTTGACACCTCATGATCCCATAGGCTGGTGTGCTTCTTCCATGTGGGCTTTGTTGCTTCTGAGCTTGATGGCCGCTTGTTTACCTTCAAGACTTTAAGACCCCAGATGCTATACTTTTTGATAGCTGGGCACCATCAGCTTTCTTCGCCACATTTGCTTATGCACCCATTTGTCTTCAGTGATCCCTTCGACACCTCGTGATCACACAGGCTGATATGTTCTTCCATGTGGGCTTTGTTGCTTCTGAGCTAGATGGCTGCTTGTTTACCTTCAAGCTTCCGGGCACCATCAGCTTTCTTCACCACATTTGCTTATTCACCGGCTTTGTCTTCAGCAGTTGTGTCGAGAAGGTGAGCATCATAGAATGCCAATTTGATAGAAGAAAATATTCTTGCATTGACTCCCTTCCATTTTCAATAAACTTTCTGAAGCCCCCCCCCCATGTATAAACCAAAATCAAACCTTCAGGTTGATGCCGACTCAGGGGGACCCCAGGTGTGTAGAGTAGAACTCGCTTCGTAGGGTGTTCAAGGCAATGGGCGCAGTGGCCACGCTTGTCTTTGGAGGCACCTCTGGATGGGTTTGAACTGCCAACCTTTCAGTTAGTAGACAAGTGTTTAATCGTTTGTGCCGCCGAAGGACTCTAAATATGTGTACGTTTATACACATATACATGCACACAGACACAGACATCACACATCGATCATTGTTTAGGCTGGATATATTTCTGTAGGTAATAGCCCTTTCTTTCTAGAAAGAGCCTGTGCATACTTCTGCTCTCCACCCCTGTGATGGAGAGAGTTGTTGTGGCTGTGCTCTGGGGTGAGCGCTGCCCAGGAGTGGGTGGACAGCAGCCCAGTGCAGAGGGAGCACCTGCATTCACACGTCCTTACTTCTCTGCAGAATCAGAGGTCAAAAACCTCCTTTCAGATGATAACTCAGAAGGCCTCACCTTGTTGGATTTGTTGAGCTTCACATATCAAGTTGCCCGAGGAATGGAGTTTTTGGCTTCAAAAAATGTAAGTTTATTCATTTATTTTTTTAAGTAATCCTATTCCAGGAGCAGAGTTCCATTGACCTGAGCCATAGATTCCCAAGAGAGCAAGTGTGGAAGGAGAGGCCAAGGCTGGGAGCTACCCCTGCATCTCATGTCCCTCCCTCTCCTCTCCCCTCAGGAAGGCAGGAGGTGGCACCACCTGGTGTCCTCCTGCTCCCCATGTTCACTGTCTTTGGGGAGTGGATGGGAAGACCCACCTCACCGTGGGGAAGGGCCATCTCTTTCTTTGTCTGGGCAGCCTGCCCGAGGTGCTGTGCCTACAGCTCCCTGGGCCACCAGGATATACCCAGTCTTTTAGGGGTGATGCTGGACTCTCTGTAGCTGACTGACTGGAAGCCACTTTGTCCCCTCCCCCCACAGTGTGTCCACCGGGACCTGGCCGCTCGCAATGTCCTCCTGGCTCAAGGGAAGATCGTGAAGATATGTGACTTCGGCCTGGCCAGAGACATCATGCACGATTCTAACTACGTGTCAAAAGGCAGTGTACGTGCTCCTGCCCGCCTGGTGCACGCTCGCCCCACCCCTTGTTTGAGCCTTGGGCAAAGCTTAGGACCCTTTGGTACCTGTGTTCTGAACTGGGACCCTGTGAGAGTCAGAAATGGACTCTTGGGCTCCACAGGGGAAGCCCACACGCCACCACCTACAACCTACCGGCGTTGGGATTGGGGCCAAGTTACTTGTATTTTCTGTGCCCTGGTTTCCCAAAGTGGTGGCTGTACCTGTCTCCTGGGTGGTGGCTGTGGCGAACAAGATCAGTTAGTTCGTATCCTGTGTCTACGACAGTGCTTGGCACCCACAGGCATCCAGTGAATGGTGACCCTGAATATGTCTATTGCGTGCTTGTGTGCGTGCATGCTTATGCATGGGCATGTGCTTCTGGGGACAGCATCGCCATCAGGCCCTCTCATGGTTCCTTCCCACCTGAGATATGCTGGATCAGAATCGACCTTTTCATAAGACCCTTGGGTGAGGTGTGCCACCCCGGGATTCACAGTATATGTGTGTGTGGAACCCTGGCGGGGCAGTAGTTAAGCGTTGGGCTGCTAACCTTAAGGTCAGTGGTTTGAAACCACCAGCCTTTCTGCAGCAGAAAGACAAGGCTTTCTACTCCCCTAAAGAGTTGCAGTCTCAAACTCGCAGGCAGTTCCACCCTGTCCTCTAGGGTCGTCGAGCGAGCATCAGAAGGGACTTGGTGGCAGTGAGTTTGGTTTGTGGAGCAGGCAGCCTGCTCGTGTGGGACTCGGTTATCAGCAGGCGCATGTGGTCACAGAGAGAATGGCTCATCAGCGTGTAGACTGGCTCAGTTTCCACCCCCTTCTTCCCTGCAGACCTTTCTCCCCGTGAAGTGGATGGCCCCTGAGAGCATCTTCGACAACCTCTACACAACCCTGAGTGACGTCTGGTCCTACGGCATCCTGCTCTGGGAGATCTTCTCTTTGGGTACGCACGATGGGGCCACTCTCTGTGCAAGATGGGGCGTCTCTGGGAGCAGCAGTGCAGCCATCAGAAATGCTAGGGAGCGCAGTTCTGCGTGACACACACACGGGGTCACCGTGGACTTGAATCAACACACCTGGCTTTGTGGAGACCCAGTCGTCAGCAGGGGCCCTGGGTGATACAAATGGACTGTGCTCAGCCACTACGGAGGGAGGTTTAAGGCACGTGGAAGCAAGGCCTGGGGACCTGGCTGTGTGCAGATGAGCCAAGGGAACCCTGGCGAGCAGGTGGCACCTGGGCTGGCCCCGAGCCAGGCAACCCAGCCACGTGGTTTTGTGGGTTTTTTGGTGTAGTCAGAGACATTGAAAACGCCCTGAAGATGGAGGATTTTTGCCTAGGGTATTGGTCCTTGTCCACCTTTGGGGTCCTAGTTAAATGTAAGTTCTGAGCAGGCCTGGGGGGAGCCCTGGTGGCATAGCAGGTTTCACACTGGGTGACTTATCTCAAGGTCAGCAGTTCAAAACCACCAGCAGCTCTGCTGGAGAAAGAGGAGGCTCCTGTCAAGAGTTTGAGTCCCAGAAATGCACAGAGGCAGTTCTATGCTGTCCTGTAGGGTCACTATGAGGGGGCATCTCCTCGATGGCGGGGAGTTTGCTTTTTGGTTATTGGGAAGTCAGGGAGACGAGGTCATCACTTAAGTGAAAGAACTGGTGCTTCCTGGCCTTCAAACGCCTGGTAGCTTGTGCAGGGTGTCTTGCACAAGTATGTTAATACCGGTCCTTTCCACTCTCTGGCTCTCAGGTGGCACCCCCTACCCTGGCATGACTGTGGACTCCACTTTTTACAACAAGATCAAGAGTGGGTACCGGATGGCCAAGCCCGATCATGCCACCAGCGAAGTGTGAGCCCCTCTCCCGCTCCTGTGGGCTTGCCTTCTGTGCCCAGCGGGGGTGGGGGGCGGTCTTTCCGGGGAGGGGACTCCCTGCTGCTCCTCCCTGGGCACGCTCTGAGTGAGTCCCGTGCCTCTCCAGCTACGAGATCATGGTGAAGTGCTGGAACAGTGAGCCCGAGAAGAGACCCTCCTTCTACCACCTCAGTGAGATCCTGGAGAACCTGCTGCCCGGCCAGTACAAGAAGGTGGGTCTGGGTTTGTCAAGGTGGGTGGGAAGACACAGTCAAGGGAGGATGGGTACAGCGAGCACTTATGCCAGAGAGCAGAGCTCCAGGGTGGGGCCAGGGGCTATGCACTGTGCGACTAACTGAAAGGTGGTTGGCAGTTGGCACCTGCCCAGAGGTGCCTCGGAAGAAAGGCTTGGCTGCCTGCTTCCACAAGGTCACCACCATCAAGACAAGAGGGAGCAGCTCTGCTCACCACACACGGACGGGGTCACCGCGGTTTCTGTTGGCTTGCTGGTTTGTTTAATGTCAAGGAGACTAGCATGGCTCGGCACTGAGGAGAGGGAGCGTTTTCAAAGGAAGCGAAAGATGGAGTGTTTCTCAATGCTGATCACAGTTCTTCTCTCCCGGGCCCCCATCCATCCTACTTACATGCATGGCACCTGCAAGCACTTCATTCTCCAGGAGTTTTGAGTGGCTGCAGCTACTACTGTGCGGTGCGAAGTCCGGGGACCTGCAGTGCCCCTCGATCGTTCATGTGAACGTGCCAAAATCCCTGCAACATTGGCTTTGTAAGCGCGGATTCAGAGGAACAATCTCAGCTGTTATCTGTGGCTCCAGCTGGTTTGGGGTTGCATAGGAAGCATTGTTCAAATGAACAAAGGCCGTCCTGCCTGGGACCCGGCAGTATATGCAAATGGTCAGACAGCTCTGCGGCTGCGCCAAGAAGGGCACCCAGGCTGCCAAAAATAAAAACCACACACACACACACACACACACACACACACACACACTCACACACTCACACACTCCCTGCCATCGAGTTGATGCCAACTCAGCCCCTCGACAGGACAGGGTCGTTGCTGCGTTTCCGAAGCAGACTGTTGAGGGGAGTAGCATTCTCCTGAGGAGTGGTTGGCAGTGTCCAACTGCTGGCCTTCACCCCTGGGGCTCCTTCCTTGTGTGCTGCACCCAGCTTCCTAGACTCAGATTAGCCACACGGGCGACTTCTCACGAGGCGGCCTGGGTGGGCGTGTGAACCCACCGGCGGGTCCAGAGGGCAGGAAAGACCTGGTGACCCACCCCCGTAAAGCCTGTTTTTAGAGGCCGTTGAGTTGGCTGTGACTCCACGGCCCTTTCTGCGACCGAGGGGACACTTGCCCGGTCCTGCGCCGTCCTCCCAGCCCAGGCTCTGTGCTCCCAGCAGGATGGAGGGCTCACAACCACAGCAGACTTCTCCTCCTCGTTGCTCCCCCACTTCTTTTCGTGAAGGAGCGGCTCTAGGAGGCGGCAGGCTGGGCTGGCAAAGACATCCTTTTGTCGCTCGATTATCTCGCTGCCCGTTCCAGCACCGTTAAGTGAAGGAAGGAGACACGTTATCCTGAGGCCAGCCAGAGCTGCTCTGAGTGGGAAAGATGTGTCAATAGGAAGAGATGGGATAGATCCACCCCACCCTTGCCTTCATTCATTTTTGAACTGATTTACTTGGTGGCCCAAGGAGTCCAGGTGGCGTAGTGGTTATGCATTGGGCTGCTCACCAAGGCTAGCAGTTTGAAACCACCAGTAGCTTCGAGGAAGCTTTCTAAGCCCCTAGATAGTAGTCTTGGAAACTCACAGGGGCAGTTCTACCCGGACCTAGAGGGTGGGTCGGTCGGGATCAAGCCGAAGGCCGTGCATTTGACTGAAAAGCTCTTGTGGGGGCGTGTT